AGGACAGCCTCGTGGCCAACCCCATCCAGAACACCTGTCTCTCTCTCCTTCCCTCTCTCTTTCTCTCCGCAACACCATAATGAAAAAAACAAGATGGGAAGGATACGGCTGTGATACCACAAGGACACTCGGCTGGTCCAAAGTCAAAGCTGGCCACGTGGCACCTGCCAGGAGACTGAGGGCTGCAAGTGCGGCAGAGAGGAGGCAGGCAGGCAGGCAGCGGCTCGGACAGGGCCTGAGATGGCCAGGCTTCATGTGAAGTGACAGTACTGAGGGTTATTCATGCAATTCTTCCACGAGAGACACGACAGGGAGGGAGATGGCACCCCAGCCCGCCCAGCACAGCTGGCCCAGGGCCACAGGGACGTGAGCCCAGCACACTCCAACAGGTCTCCGGGTGCAAACCTGGACCCCCACCGGCCAGTTTCACGAAGGGTTGTATCACACCCCGCACCACCCTCAGCCTCCTAGAGCAGCATTAAACGTGACCGACAGGGACAAGACACCTCATGACGACTATGCAAACAATCCTGAAAAAGAACTAAGACTGCCCAGGGCGTTGAAACTGAACGCTCTGCACGGGGGCACAGAGAGCAGCACCACCGCGCTGGGCATGTCGCACCCGAGAGAGATGGCCGACGACATGGACGGGAGGCGTCAGCGTCTGCTCATCGGGGCTCGGATCTGGTACGCAGAGGCGTTTCCTGTCCAAAAACAGTGCAAGAACAGCAGAAGTGAACAAGCCACTAGCTCGACAAAGAGAGAAGGTGCAAAGCCGAAAGAAAAGTCAGCAACTCCAAGAGAAGACAAGAGAGGAGGTCACACTAGGTCTAGGCCACGCATTCTGCACACGGCATGCTGCCCCATTTGACACTGAGGCACAACTTCAAGAATGCTGTCATCGCCTTTTGGCCAGAACCGTCATCTTCCACTAATTCACCAGAATGATGGACACAAAGGGAAAGTAGAGAGGCACCCGATACATGTTCTCTAGGCCTTTTAGAAAACATGGAGTGGGTCCTTCAGCAACGTATCTGTGAATCTACGAGGAAGGTGATACTGTAGACATCGAGGGAACAGGTGCTGTTCAAAAGGGAGTGCCCCACAAATGTGACCATGGCACAACTGGAAGAGTCTACCACGTTACCCAGCGTGTTGTTGGCATTGTTGTAAACAAATAAGTTACGGGCAAGAGTCTTGCCAAGAGCATTAATGTGTGTATTGAGCACATTAAGCATTCTAAGAGTAGAGATAGCTTCCTAAAACATGGGAAAGGAAATGACTAGAGAAAGAAGGAAGCCAAAGAGGGGGACCAGCAGTTAGCGTAATGGCTATGTCGCTGGACTCCCATGTAATTGACCGCGGTTCGCATCTCGAACCCGGTGGTTTAAAACTCACGTCAGGCACATGTGCGTGTGTGCCCAAGATCCCAAGAGGAGAATGGAGAAGAAGGGATTGCGACGTGGCCATCCCCCCTGGGGGGTGATTGCTCACTTTCTGTCTCTCTGTCTCTGTCTGGCAAGCACACACATCCTATAGCAAAAACCTCTCAAAAAAAAAAAGAAAAGAAAAAAAGAGAGAGAAAAAAGAAGGAAGCCAAAGAGAAAGGGACCTGGGTTCAACTGAGGCGCCAGCCTGCTCCACCCAGAGAAGCCACTGTATGAGAACTGATGGAAAGGAGCCAGAGCTTCTGGAACCTGTTCTCTATGAGTTCATGGCATGATGGGTGTTAAAAATAAACTAATTGGGACCAGCAGTTAGAGTAATGTCTATGTCACTGGACGCCCATGTAGTTGACTGCAGTTCGAGTCCCAGACCCAGTGGCTTAAACTCATGCCGGGCATGTGTGCGTGCGTGCTCAAGATCCCGAGAGGAGAATGGAGGAGAAGGGACTGCAGCATGGATACCCCTGGGGGGTGATTTCTTGCTTTCTGGCAAATGCGCATACCCTATGGCAAAAACCTCTCCAAAAATAAATAAGTAAACAAACAAACAAACAAGTCTATAGTCTATTAAAAAAAAAAAAGGAATGCCATCATCAAAGAAGCCACAGCCAGAGATGATCAAACCTCCAAGGAGTGGCATGCTCTCCTAAGGAAACAGAGGGATGAGGAAGGAAGAAAAACTATTCTTTCTTTTATGAGTTCGGCAGAATACAACCAAACTCTGGCGAAGCCCACAAAAAAACTGACCCTGCAGAAGCCAGTCCTAAACATGACAGAAACAAAGAATCCACAAATATAAGAGCCAGAGAAAGTTCATGTGATGTGTGAAGGGAAGGTCTGTATTCAGGTCTCTGTGGACAAGTCATGCTGATGGGGGCCAACTCCCGTGATCTGGAAGCCATGAGGAGGACCAGGGGTCGGTGTCTGTGCCCAGTATACATGAATAGCACGCACAGGCCCCTGATCCTGGCTGGTCACGGAGGCACAGGGCAGGTCATGGCATGAGACCCGATTGAAGATGCTTGTCTTTCTGCTTCTTTCTCAAACTTCACAGAATAAAAAGGCAACCTATCAACATGCTAAATAAGACAGCAGTAACAGAAATCTTAAAAGTGAAACCTACTTTGTCGATTCACCTCCCCCATGCCCCCAGTCTGTATGGCCATTTCACTAACACCTGCACACACATGAGTGTGCGGGAGACGTGTAGGGCTGCTGGCTGCCTGTTGTTAAACAGACCCACACCATCCATGGGGCCTACACAACGGGTCGGGAGGCCACGGTCGGTTCCAGTGGCAGACCAGAAGCTGCAACGTCGAACTACCCCGGGACTTGTTTCCAGGAGTGTGGGATGTTGGTAACAAGGACCACTTGGGCCCCGGGAGGTGGTGAAAATTCTCAATTTACACCTACCAGCCAAGCACTGGGAAGTGGGGAAGGGTCTGGGCAAACAAACAAACAAAAACAGCAAATGAGCATAGAGCTGAGGGCCAGGGTGACGTGGTACTTGAGAAGGCCAGGTCCTGTAAGGTTGGCTGCGTGGTCAAGACTCGGCCCTGCCAGCTTGAAAACACGCCAGTCACATTTGTGTGTGCCGCAAGTCCTGAAAGGAGGGAGAAATGGAGAAGGGATTGCGGCGTGACCGCAGCATGACCATTCCCTACAGAAGGCACTTCCTTACTTTCTCTCTCTCTGGGGAGCACAAGTGTCCTCGGAAAATTAAAAAAAAAAAAGAAAGAAAAAAAAACGATTACAGAATAGAAGCACAGGTATACAACACACCAACAGGAAAAGGTTCAGCAAAGTTAACACAACAGTATCCGAGAGGGCGCAGAGGGACAGGGAATAGTAACAGGTCACCGCGAGGCTTAGGAGAGCCCCTGGGCCCCCACTGCCAGACACCATGTGTACCCTGAAAGCAGCACCAACGTCACAGTGCGGCGGTCTCCTCGAGCCCCGTGCTGCGCTCGCAGAGAGCTACTGCAGTCTCTCTCCTGCCGGCCGCTCGCCTCCATGCCAACACCTGCTTTCAGGACAGGCGTGCTTGGCTGAGCCCCACCCGCACAGCAGGCTCGTCTCTGAGAGCGTGGCCAGTGCGGCCTGCTCCAGGCAGCACAGTAAGTGATGGCGGGACGAGCTCATGGTGGGAGTCCACCGGAGGGAGCGACGTGGCAGGCAGCATTTGGAGCCAGAGACCGATGGGAGGCACGGGGTTCAGGGACATGGGAGATCACCAGGACACAAAGTAAATGGACCGAGCAGTTGCCACAGAGGAGGGCACCAGGACTAGAGGAAGAAAAAGCCCATTTGCTTCTAAGATTGGATGGCATCTACTGTCACTGCTCTGCTCTGCGAATGTCCACACCAGAGGCTACAGTTAAGCATGCATGTTTTTATATTTTATACTGAAGTTTCAATTATTTTCCTGCCATTTTATAAAGATAATAAACTTGGAGCAGCAGATGACATAATGGTTATGTTATTGGACTCCCACATGACTGACCATAGTTCGGCCCAGTGGCTTGAAACTCATGCAGGACGCACGTGCGTGCATGCCCAAGATCCCGAGAGGAGAATGGAGAAGGGATTCCAGTGTGGCCATCCCCCCCCCCGGGGTGTGTGTGTGTGTGATTTTCTCGGTTTCTGTCTCTCTGTCTCTCCAGCAAGTACAAACACCCTTATAGCAAAAATCTCTCTAAAAAGTGTAATACAAACATATAAATTATCATCGTATTTGCTAACAAGGGAATTTTCACTTGAATAAGCAATTTTTTTTAGTAACTTTTTATCATCTTTAAGCTGCCAGAATGTGTGTTTTGCAGAGGCAGACAGAGAGGGAGAGGGAGAAAGCTTCTCCCAGTGGGGCATGGTCATGCCTTTATCCCTTCTCCTCCATTTCTCCCTCCTGTCAGGATTTGGGACATGCATGCACAGGTCCCTGGTATGTCTTTCCACGGCCAGGACTTGAATGCACTTGGCCATGTAGGATCTGGCTCCCTTAACCACTAGTCCACAAAGCAAGCCCTGGAATGAGCAAATTCTTAACCCTGGTTTAATTAACATTGTGCATAACGAACGTTGACAAACATCCTGAGCCAAACCAATGGCACAGGTGTCGCACATCTGGCCGGGGACCCAACATAGGTTGGCACACCATGCTACAGCTGCCAGAGAAAAGTCCTCTTCCCTTAACCGGCTGGTAACTGGAAGACTCATGAGCCAAGAAAATCCGGCCACCGACAAGTTTCTTTTTCCCATCCTCCATCCAGCTTTCATGAGAGAGTACAAAGGCACATTTGCAAAATTAAAGAGAGAAAGAAACAAACACATATTTGGTACAGTTGAGCTCTAAGCCAAGGAACAGCGGCCGGTCCAGGAACCTTCCCAGTTATGCATTTCAAACCACAGGCTACGAGATGGCCGTTAAACAAGGGCCCGTTACGTCCACGCCATGGCCGTGCTAGCGCCAACATGTGAGCTTCAATTACAGCTCTATCGCAGACATGGTGACACACTTAGGCTAACCCGAGAATGTGTCTATTCAGAAAGGCTCACCTTCATCCACAGAAAACTGACAGCTCTTATCATTGAAAAAAAGTATTTTCTTCTTATCAGGTCGATTCACAAATAATATCTGGTCCCCTAAAGCCTTAAAGATAAAGAAAAATTGTTTCAGTTAACTTCAAATTACCTCACAAAAAAGTTCATTTGCACAAGAAAGGACTCCTCCCCCTTTTAACCCTCAGTGCACCATTAGGGCCCACTGGACCCAACTATACTTCCTTCCCGAGTCTTTCCGTCCAGTTTTGGCTGTAAGGAATGACATTTCAAGACTGTCATTCTTTTTTTTTTTGAGAGATGTTTGCTATAGGGCACATGTGCTTGCCAGAGAGACAGACAGCAAGAAATCGCTGCCCCCCCCCCCGGGGTATGGCCATACTGCAATTCTCTTGGGATTTGGGGCGTGCATGCACACGCATCTGGTGTGAGTTTCAAGCCACCAGGTCTGGGACTCAAAACTACAGTTGACATGTGGGAGTCCAGTGCTTTAACCACCACGCCACCCGTTGGCCCCCAAGACTTCTTATCTTACAAGTGTTCTGAAGAACAGAGGACTTTTTTTTTTATAATAACGTAAGAGAGGGAACAGAGAGAGACAGGTGTTTGTGACACAGTCTTGCCTGACACCCTGCCATGACTTCCCAGACCAGCCAGGATTAAAGCCGCACACCATGCGCTCGCTTGTCTTCCCATGCAGCCAGCTGCCTGCAGGGACCCAGTGGTGCACATGGCAAGTTCCTTTTTCTTTTCTTTTTCTTTTTTCTTTGGAGAGGTTTTTGCTATAGGGTGTGTGCGCTTGTCAGAGAGACAGAGAGAGACAAAGAGACAGAAAGCGAGAAATCACCCCCCGTGGGGATGGCCACGTCGCAACCCCTTCTCCATTCTCCTCTCGGGATCTTGGGCACGCATGCACATGTGCCCGATGTGAGTTTAAGCCACCAGGCCTGGGACTCAAACTGTGGTCAACTATATGAGAGTCCAGCGACACAGCCATTACACCAACTGCTGGTCCCCACGCTGGTATTTTCTAAAACAATAAAATTCAGTCCTTACTGCAATTAATATTTGGAAACATCAGGACCTTTTAAGAATCTAAGACTTCTTCTACCTTGCTATTTACTCATTATTACCATCATTATTTCCAACTGGCTTCTTAAAAGCTAAAACAGGTCCAGTCTCTGTGGCTCATCTGTGTGGTACTAGATCGTAGAGCTGGAAGTCACATGCTGACCATAGTTCTAGTCCCCAGCCCAGTCAGCCTGAAACACACCAAGCCAGTGCGAGAGGAAGGGGGCTGCAGTGTGACCATGCCCTTCTCTTTACCTCTCTCTCTCTTCCTCCCTGCCTCACATCAGTCTATGATGAATAAAAAACAAATGTTTAAGTAGGCTGGTTCCACAGCTTAGTGGCTAAAGGAGCCGAATCCCACAGGGCCGGCCATGGTTCAAACCCCAGCCCCAGAAGCTTGAAAAGCATTCCAGCCATGCATGTGTCTATGCCCCAAATCGGATGGAGAAGGGACTGCAGCATGGCCATACCCCTCTGAGTGCGTATCTGCACATGTGCCTTCTAATAAGTAACAAGAAAAAAACAAATACGGAAATCCTCGTGCAGTTGGTGGGACTGAAAAATAGGTCCAACACCTATGGAAAACTGTATGGCAGCTCCTCAAAAAATTAAAAACAGAATTGTCACATAATTAAGCAATCCTACCTTTGCGCACACATGCAAAGAGTGTAACAAAGTATCAACAGGGACATGCGCACTCCATGCGCAGCAGCCTCACTACCACCTCTAGGGTGAGCAAATGACCAGGACCCACCGCAGATGTATCAGACACTCATGGGGGCTGCATCTAGCTTTAAAAACGAGGGAGATCTTGTCACATTACAACATGAATGAACCTCGAGGCAGGCCAGCTAGGTGGCATGGAGGTTAAGGCAGCTGGACTCTGCAAGGCCAAGTGTGTGGTTCAAGTCCTAGACCTGGCAGCTTGGAAAATATGTTGTATGCAAGTGCGCAGATGCATGCCCAAAATCCTTAGAGGTTAATGGGAGAAAAGAAAAGGCACGGCCCTTCCCTAGGGAGCGATTTCTCACTCTCTCTCTGGCGAGTGCCCGTGTCCTGCACTGCTGCCTGCAGTTCTCAGGTGGGAGGGGAGAGCCTGTCTTTAAAAATCAAGACAGACGCCAGGCAAACCCTTACATAAGATGTCTAAGGCCATCACCTCTCCCCCAGTAGGATGGTCACTATCAGACTAGGAACAACTTTTTAACAGGATGTGGGGACTCAGTTTTGCAAAACGTTACTATTTTGAAGAGCTTTTTGTTTCACGACAGGGTCACGGGTGACCCTGCTGAGCCCACTGAGCGAAGCCAGCCACACCACAGCAGTCACACGTGTCGCCATGCTGAGCTGCACAGGAGGCCCCACGTTGGCCCCAGGTCTCCCTGCACACTGGGCTCAGGCGTGCATGCTAATGACCTGGGAGCTGAAGGAGGGCCGGGTCATGGTACTACAATCCCACTGAGGGTGCCTCCCTTTCCCCTCTCCTCTCATTCTTTCTCTTCATCCCTCTCTCCACCCGTCCCTCATGAGACAATAAACTATATTTTTTTGAGAGATTTTTGCTATAGGCACATGCACTCACCAGAGAAACAGAGACATAGACAGAAAGCAAGAAATCACTCCCCCAGGGGGGGATGGCCACACCACAATCCCTTCTCCTCTTGGGATCTCGGACACACATGCACATATGCCCGGCCAGAGTATTAAGCCACCAGGCCCAGGACTTGAACCGTGGTCGACTATGTAGGAGTCCAGCAATGTAACCATTACACCATCTGCTGGTCCCAGAGATAATGAACTTTTTAAAAATGGTTAGATGTTAAATTTTATTTTACCAACATTAATTTTTTTTTAGTTTTTAAGAAAGAACCCTATGAGTAGCTAATTGAACACATCACCTATATGCATAGCAGCATGGGTGCAACAAAGGCTAACAGCACCATGCTGGTAGTCAGCGTACTGCCTCGCCGGGATGGGGACTCTGGCTGTGGCCAGGCTCCGTCACTCTCTTGAGCTCCTGCTCTCGGGCAGCCCTTTGATCCCTAGCGAGCACTACAGGCACTCTTCCTCAAGCACTGTGACCACACAGCAGCAACTGCAATCATCGTCCCTCTCCACCAGGTCTGAGGGGTGGACCTGATTGTGCTGAGGAGCGCCTCAAAAACCGCCCAGGACAGGACACATAATGCTTTTTTTGGAGAGGTTTTTGCTATAGGGCGTGTGCGCACGCCAGAAAGACAGAGAGAAAGAGAAAGACAGAAAGCGAGAAATCACCCCCAGGGGGATGGCGACGCCACAGTCTCTTCTCCTCCATTCTCCTTTCGGGATCCTGGGCTTGGGATCCTGGGCTTGCACGCACACGCACCCAGTGTGAGTTTAAGCTACCGAGTCCAGGACTTGAACTGTGGTCGACTACATGGGAGTTCAGCAACATAGCCATTATGCTAACTGCTGGTCCCAGAACACATAATGCTTTTAAAAACAGAATAAAAAGTCTGGGTTTTAAGTAGTTTAGAAAGAAATCTTCCCTGACAATGAGAAGAGATGATGCACTTTCATGGTCCTTCAGCTCGAACCTTACGGAAGACAGCTGGTGACAAGAGGCTATCGAGGTGACCCTTCATCGCCAAGTGTTTACAGGGGACACCTGTCACCCCTGACGCGGCTGCTGCTACCCTCCTTTGCACACACGAGCCAGGTGGTGGCTTCAAGTGTCCCTGTGTGCACCTGAGGGGACTTTCTAAATAGTTCGAAATGGTTGATATCCTAAAAGTATCACAAATCAATAGCAACAAACATTAAAAGCAAGAAGACATTATTAACTCAAATTAATTAAGATCTAAAAGGAAAAGAGCAGTGACCTTGACAGCTTTCTGGGAGTTGGGCAGTCCTTCTTCTATGTCTTCCAGAAGGATCCCTCCAAGGCCTCGCTGGTCATGCTTGTCCAGAAGCCTGAGCAGGGCCTTCTTGTCCTTCAGGTTGTACTTGGGCTTGAAGGCGTACTTCCCGTCGACCACTTCAATTTTGGGGTTGTTGACCAATGCCTGTTGGATAGACCAACAGAAGGAAATGTCACATGAGCATTCTCAAATCCTAATTACTAAAAACACAAGGCTACTCAACAGAATGGCAAGTAAGAGTACCCTATGCTTCCACTCCCTGAGACACACACAAGCATGACGTACAAGCATATAAACTGTACTTCAGTACTTGCACAGCAACAGCAATCACTCTGTAAAGACGTAAGCAAAACTGCTATGCTGACTTCTTTACAGCTTTCACAATAAACCATTAACTTTCACATTTAGATAAACAGACAAATAAGTAGGATTACATGAAAATCAACAAATAAATCTTATCAGAAATAAAAAATAAAAATAGGAGGCCAGCAGGTGGTGTGTGGTTATGGTGCTAGACTCCCACATGGCTGACCATGGTTCAAGTCCCAGTCCTGGACCTGGTGGCCTGTTTTCTCACTCTCCCCCCATCCCCCGGCCCTATCTGGTCAACTTAAAGTAAACAAACAAATAAATAAAGTTAAATTTAAAATAATTCTATTGAAAAAATAAATAAAAGTAGAAGCCAGGGCCAGTCCCATGGCCTAGTGGTTAAGGGAGCCAGATCCCACATGGCTGACTGCATGATTCAAATTGTGGTCCCAGTAGCTTGAAAAACACAACAGGCATTAGTATGTTTCTGTGCCCCCAAAATCCCAAAAGAATGGGGAGGTGGAGGAGAGGGATGGTGATGTGATCATGCCCCACTGAGGGGCACTCTTTCTCTCATCCCCACCTTTGTCTTTCTGTCATTCTCTGGGGAGTACCCAGGTGCTCTGGCTTATTAAAAACAAAGACCCTGGGGCTAGCAAGTGACATGGTGGTTAGGGTGCTTGATTCCCATATGGCCAACCATGGTTTGCTTTTTCTCTCTCTCTTTCTCTCTCTGGTGAGTGCACATTCCCTGTAGTAAGTTAAAAAAATAATAATAAATAAATACTTAAGAAAAATAAATAAAAACAAAGACCCTATACCAGTTCTTTTAAGAAAAAATAAAAACATTACCAGATTCCTGTTTATTAAAACACTCTGGGGAGGATCAGTAGATAACATAATGGTTATGTTGCTGGATTTACACATGGCTGACCATGGTTCAAGTCCCAGACCTAGAGGCTTGAAACTCATACTGGGTGTGTGTGTGTGCCTAAGATCCTGGGAGGAGAATGGAGAAGAAGGGATTGTGGCATGGTCATCCCCTAGGGGGTGATTTCTCACTTCCCCTCTCACTGTCTGTCTCTCTCTCAGGTAAGCACATGTACCCTAAGGCAAAAACCTCTACAAAATAAATAAATAAATAAATAAAAAATAAAACAAACTCTAGTTAGGACCACCAGCCCTGTGTCCTGGTAGTTAAAAAAACCAGATCCCACATGGCCAACTATATGGTTTAAATCTAGCCCCAGGAAGTTTAAAAAACATGCTGGATGCATATGCATGGGTGCCCAAAATGTAACACAATAAACAAAATGCTCCAGTTACAGTAAATATCTCTTAAAAACTAATGTTTTTTGCAGTATTTTAAGTCTATTCTTACCTCAGTCATCAGCCACTGTTTTTGCTTCAGTCCAATATCTAAATGCTGTGTTTCATCCAAAATTTCTTCTAAAGTTAGAGGATGCGTATCTCCTCGCTGATGCCGAGTCTGTCCACGGAAATAAGCATCATCAGAAGACAATGGTAAACGCCAGATGTGAGCCAGCCCCGGTGCTTCGCAGAGGAAGCAGAATCTCACATGGCCAACCAGGGTTTGAGTCCTGGCCCTGAGGGCTTCCAAGCCAGGCAGGCACACGTGCCCAGGATCTGAACAGGATGAGGAGTAGAAGAAAAAGAGCTGAACTGTGGCATGACCAAGCCCCCATCCCCAGCCCAGCACACACGAGTGTGTTACAACAACAAAGACTGCCAGGGCAGCCCGTGCTGCAACGCGTAAGGAAGCCGGATCCACATGGCCAATCGTGGTCCAAATCGCTGCCCTTGGAGCTTGCAAACCTTGCCAGATCTACGTGTGTGTGTGCAATCAAAACTCTGATGGGAGGCAGAAACGGGAAGGGACTGCAGCATGGCCATGCCCCATTTTGGGGGTGTTTTTCTCTCCCTCTCTCTCTCTTGTAAGTATACACACCCTCTGACAAAAACCAAAATGCCAGCTGCATAAACCACAGTTACACATAAACAAATCTTTGCAGGCATGTAGAGGAGACACTATGTGAGGTGCCATAGTTATAGTGGTGAAGAGCATGCACTAAATCAGAGAACTGGTTAAACTCAAAGCTCTATAAGCCAAACAAAAAAAAAATTTACAATTCATATCATAAAGAACTGATCTTGGGGACCAGCAGGAGGTGTGGTGGTTAGGTGCTGGACATTCCTACATGGCCGACCACGGTTCTAGTCCCGGACCTGGCAGCTTGCTTTCTCACTTTCCCTCTCTCTCTTTCTCTCTCTGGTCAAATTAAAATAAAAAGAATGAATTGATACAATTAAAACAATTCCTTAAAAAAAAAAAAGATCTTCTAATACTCAGAGTTCCAAAACCTTACAGAAAAATGCCAGAAAGACAGGAATACAGGGACCAGCTAATAGTGTAATGGTTATGTCACTGGACTCCCATGGAGTCGACCATATTCAAATCCTGGACCCAGTGGTTTAAGGCTCACGCTGGGCGCATGTGCGTGTACATCTGAGATCCCTAGAGGAGAGTGGAGAAGGGACTGTGGTGTGGCCATCCCCCTGGGGGGGTGACTCTTGGCTTTCTGTCTCTCCCTCTCTCTTTTTGGCAAGTGCATGCACCCTACAGCAAAAAATCTTAATTAAAAAAAAAAAAAAAAGACAGGAATACATGAAACACAGAAAAAGAAGTGTATGTGGCCTTAAACATATGAAAAAATACTCAGCTTCCACCAAGATGTTTCTTCTTTTTTTTTTTTTTTTTTTTGGAGAGGTTTTTGTTATAGGGCGTGTGCGCTCGCCAGACAGACAGAGAGAAACAGAGAGACAGAAAGCGAGAAATCACCCCCCAGGGGGGATGGCCACGCCGCAATCCCTTCTCCTCCATCCTTCTCTCGGGATCTTGGGCATGCACGCACATGCGCCCGGTGTGAGTTTAAGCCACTGGGTCCAGGACTCGAACTATGGTCGACTACACGGGAGTCCAGTGACATAGCCATTATGCCAACTGCTAGTCCCCGATGTTTCTCATCTACTGAGCTGGCAACTCTTTCATGTCTGACAACGCTATCGTTGCAGCTATTAAGGAGGCAGGCTTCTCAGGCCGTTGGTAAGAGTACAGAACATTACCCAACCCCTAGGAAGGACAATTTGATAGAACGAATGCATGTAGGGGCAGGCAGGTGGCATGGTGGTTGAGGTGCTGGACTCCCACATGGCTGACCTGGTGGCTTGCGAAATGGAGGAGAAAGGACAGTGATGAGACAGTAACACCAGCTGGTGCTTTCTCCCCTTCCCTGTCTCTCCTTTGGCAAGCACCTGTGACCTCTAGCAAATTAAAAAAAAAAAAAAAAGAACAAAACATCTCTAGAGGAAGATACAAAAATCTATCAACACTGGAGTCCTCTGAGGAGGTGAATGAGATAGTGAAGAGAGAGAACTTAGAGGAAACTTACTTTGTACTGTTCTCTTGTACCTTGAAATTTTTAAAAATCAGGTGTATTAATGAACTAAATATCAATATATAGCACACATGTAAATATATGAAAACAGCATAACTAGTAAAGTGAAATGAGTATTTTAAAAATTAAAAGCTTCTGGGGCTGGCAAGTGGTATGGTGGTTAAGAATGCTGGACTCCCACATGGCTGACAGTGGTTCTATTCCCGGACCTGGTGGCTTACTTTCTTGCTTTCCCTCTCTCTGCCCTCTGGTCAAATTAAAGTGAATAAAGTTAAATGAAATAATTATTTTTTTAAAAAATTAAAAGCTTCTTCTTTGAAAAGACAAAACTGACAGACTTATAAACTGACAGACTTACAAATAATACTGGTTAAAAAAAGAAGATGGAGGGCAGGCAGGTGGCATGGTGGTTGAGGTGCTGGACTCCCACATGGCTGACCTGGTGGCTTGCTTTCTTACTTTTTCTCTCTCTGTTTCTCTCTGGTAAGCACCTGTGCCCTATAGTAAATTAAAATAATAATAAAAGTAAATAAATCTTTTTAAAAAATACATATATACTATTGCACTTAAATTTGGAACAAGCAACCCTAGCTCTAAGGTTTATCCTACAGCTATACTAGCATAACATACGGAGAAGTGACCGGGGTCACCATGGTGCTGTCTGCGAAAGAAAGACAGCAGCACAACCCACGTGGCTACAACACGGACTGACCCAATGAATGGCAGCATGGCCTCGTGGCAGTGCACAGCCCACGTGTCCACGACACAGAGTGACCCATGAATAGCAGCACGGCCTTGCTGCGGGACACAGGGCCAGAAGGCAAAGGCAGGTGTCCTCTGTGCTCACTGAAAAGGTGCCCAGGCCAAGTTAGGGTGAGGCCTCACACAGACATCAAGTGACAGGGCAGTGCTCTGACTATGGCCGTCACGTGAGGCCAGGTACAGAACTTCTCACTTGTGGTACCCTGTGACACTTGGCTTTGCATCAGACAGTGACATGCATTTCAGGTGATGACAGGCATGAAGGAAGCCTGAGGGGAAACAGGTCCCATGGCAAAAGGGTCACTTTCTCTATCTCTCCGGTCAAATTAAAATCCAGAGACCTTCCTGAACACCAAGCATGCATGTTGCTGTGATCCAGGGGGAAGAAAGTGAGGGTGCACTCTACTTTAGATCTCTCTCTGTCTGTTTCAAGGCAGAAATAAATAAGGCAACTTAGGGGGGGAGAAAAACAGAAAAAAATAAAAAAACAGAGGTGTTGTATTACTGCCTAGGTACACTCTTATTAAGTAAGAGAAATGCTGGGCTTAAATTCTAAGCTCAAATCAATGTGAATGAAACACTCTAAAATGACTTGCTGCAAAGCCACGCTAGCTAATGCGGGAGCCGAGACGGCGAGCTGCGCCGCCCAGTGTGGATGAGGTACACATGTGCAGCGCACATATTAAGATGCACACCCGTGTGCACGTTCACTTCTGGAACCCACCCCCTTCTGCCAAGGCACAGCGGGCTTTCTGTGGCTGAAACAAGGACTTACCTTCATGTAGTTCACAATCTTGGCAAGGACGCCGAACTTGTACCCGGAGCTTCCGGACAGGGCTTTCAAGTTAAAGGAGCCGTTGCTGTGATCTGGGAACAAAGCGCTTTCATGTTAGACACGATCACAACTTTAAAGCAGCTGAGATTATTTCAATTCTGATAAAGAGTTCTTGTCTGACTTTTTAATTTTTTTCTTTAGAGAGATTTTTTGCAATAGGGCGTGTGCGCTCGCCAGAGAGACAGAAAGCAAGAAATCAATCGGGGGTGGGGGAGGAGGCCACACCACAATCCCTTCCCCTGGCTCCTCTCAAGATTTTGGGCACACATGCACAAGCACCCAGCATGCGTTTTAAGCCGCTGGATCCGAGACCCGAATGGCAGTTGACTAAGTGGGAGTCCAGCAAAATAACCATTACGCCATTCGCTGGTCTCTTGTTTGATTTTTTTTTTATGTAATTAATTTTATCTTGTAAAATCTCGGTGAAAAATACACAATATTTGCGGGCATGTTAAACTATCAGCTTTCTCTCTGAAGTAGGAAACAAGTATAAGCCATCTGATAGCATTAAAATACAGCTCTCTGGCACAGTGTGGTAGCTATGACCAATAAACACGGAGCTACATTCCACAGAGCGACTGTAGTTCAAGTCCCAGCCCTGGCAGCTTGGAAAGTATGCTGGACACGTGTGTGTGCCCCAGATCCTGAGAGGATAGAGAAGTAGAGGAGAAAGGATTGCAGGGTGTTTTCTCCCCCACTCTCTGTCTGATGAGTACCATGCACCATCTGGCAATTAAAAAATAGTAATAAAATAAAGTAACTGTTTTAGGAGCCAGTAGGTGGCATGGCAGTTAAGGCACTGGACTCCCACATGACCTACAATGGTTTGAGTCCCAGACCTGGTGGCTTGAAATTCACATCAGGCACGTGTCCAAAATCCCAAGAGCAGAGTGAAGGAGAAGGGGCTGCAGTGTGGCCATCCCCACAGGGGCTGATTTCTTACTTTCCCTCCCTCTCTAGCGAGCACAAGTACCCTATGGCAAAACCTAAAAACAAAGTTATTTTACAAATACCCTTATTTTACACATACTTTCATTCTGAATAATTTCCTCCCATATTTAGAAGTGTAGCTTATTGGGAACCAGCAGTTAGCGTAATGGCTATGTCGCTGGACTCCCACGTAGTCGACCGCGGTTCATGTCCCGGACCCGGTGGCTTAAAACTCATGCTGGGCGCGTGTGCGTGCATGCCCAAGATCCCGAGAGGAGAATGGAGGAGAAGGGATTGCGGCGTGACCATCCCCCCTGGGGGGTGATTTCTCGCTTTCTGTCTCTATGTCTCTCTCTGTCTGTCTGGCGAGCGCACACGCCCTACAGTTTGCTATAGGACGCGTGCGCTCGCCAGACAGAGAGAGACATAGAGACAGAAAGCGAGAAATCACCCCCCAGGGGGGATGGTCACACCGCAATCCCTTCTTCTCCATTCTCCTCTCGGGATCTTGGGCACGCACGCACACGCGCCTGGCGTGAGTTTTAAGCCACTGGGTCCGAGACATGAACCGCGGTCGACTACGTGGGAGTCCAGCGACATAGCCATTACGCTAACTGCTGGTTCCCGCCCCTGAGGCTTTTCAAACACACACACACACACACAAAACAGAAAAATTGAGCGGATTCCTTTTAAAAGATAAAAAAAAATTCAATTCAGAGTCAGACGGGCAGAGTGGTCACACAGCATCCTGTAATACTTGGTCCCACCCTGTGCATACTAGGGCACGTGTGCGTGTGCCCCTGACCCAAGCTGGCTGAGGTTGGGGGTGGGTCATGGCATGAGAGCCCGGTTGGGGTATCTAGGCCCCAGCTCCAGGAAGAGTAAAAAAACTTAAAAAAAAAAAAAAAGAACAGCTGATGCCCTGGGCCAGCTCCACGGTACAAAGTCAGTGCTGTGCCCTGGGAAGAAGGTTCCACATGGCTGACGGTAGTTGAAATCCCCACCCTGGAGCTGGACGGACACACCAGGAAGTGGCACGTGAGCCCAAGACCCTGACAGGAGGGAGGAGTGGGGAGAAGGGGCTGAGTGTGGCCTCGCCTCACCGCAGGGCTCGCTTTCCGGCAAGTGTGAGCGCCCTCTATCAATACTCCAAGTTCGATTTATCACCGCTTACATCAAGTCTCTGCTTACCAACTGAAAACCGAAAATGGGGGCGAACTAGCGGGAGCTAACAGGAAACATGATGGTAGAACTATTCTAAAGTGAATGTTACCAATAACACCAGGAGTAAACGGCAGCGCAGCCTGTGCCTGGTGGGTAAGGCACCTGGATCCCACTCCCACGGTTTGAGTCCCGCACCCAAGGGCGTGCTTTCTCCCGCCCCACTCCCTGCCCACACGAGCACACACACCCTGTGGCAAATTAAAAATAAATAAGATGGGGCCAGCAGATGGTAGAGTGGTTGTGTTGCTGGACTCCCACATGGCCAACTGTAGTTTGAGTCCTGGACCTGGTAGCTTGTGTTCCCAAGACTGCAGGAGGAGAATGGAGGAAAAGGGATTGCAGCATGGCCAACCTCCCTGGCGGGGGGTGGGGGTGGGGTAGATTTCTCATTTCTCTCTCACTGTCTCTGTCTCTCTCTCCAGTGAGCACAAGCGCCCTCAGGCAAAAACCTCTAAAAAATAAAATAAGTAAATAAGCACAGGCACACCACTGCACAAAGGGTACTTACAAACTGTGATAGCACTGCCCACTGGAGGAAATCCTCTCTCCCCGACACCCTGGTACCCAGGACTCGCTCAGAAGAGCCCACTGTGCCACACTTCCAAGTGCCACTGTTCACAGAGGCCACCGTAAAGCAAGGTCAGGAATACTCTTCACGGCCTGGTGGTTTGCAAACCAGGCATCAAGGCAGAGGCCACCATGGTCCTGAGTCCACACAGGGCGAGGTTACATTAAAGGGGGAGGCCAGGGCCAGCAGGTGATGTGGTGGTTAAGGAGCTGGACTCTCACATGGCCAACTGCAGTTCGAGTCCTGGTCCTGGCAGCTCGCCTTCTCACTTTCTCTCTCTGGTCAAATTAAAAAATAATAATAAATAACAAAATTAAACAAGTAATTCTTTCAAAAAAGGGCGGGCATCTCTAGCATAGCTTGGTAATAATCATTTTTAAAAAGATGGCATTAGAACCACCACAAGTAAAATGTAACTGCTGTCAGAGACCCAGAACAGCTTAGAGGAAACGGGACACTCTTGGGAGAAGCCTCAGGGACTCGGTTCTCAGAGGGTGTTTTTATGAGACTAAAATGAAACCTGATCTGTGTTCCCTTCACAAGCAACGTAGTTGCAAGTTTTGTAATAGTTTAATTGGCACAGTGAGTCCTACCACACTTCCAAAAACAGCAATATTCCAGACATCTCAGAGCATCAACACTGCACCAGGTCACGAGAGGCTAGGGATGGAGGTTCGGGACAGTTCGCCGGCTTTCCCACGGTGTCGAGGGTACTTTAAGAACAGCAGCTGCGATTTGCCCGACGCTCATAACCTGCCAAACACCATGCTCAAGGATTTTCATTGTCAGCTTCTCCCCAAAACCCTACTTCAGAGAAACTGGTGGCCCCTTTTAGTAAGAAAACTGAGGATGATAAGAGGCAGAAGTAGATTTAAATGCAGTTGTCAAGGATGCACACGGCCTTGCAGGGACTCATTACCCAGCCTTCACACAGAACGTCCCGTCTTGACCCGCTAGACTGCCCAGTGTAGACACCTGTGCACGGACTCTTACTGCTTCCCCACGAACCTGGGGAGACAGAACTGCCTCCTGGCGCCCGGGTGATGGGGAGGCTAGGACAGACTCACATGTGAAGAGTGATGGCATCCAGGGTCAGTTCTGGCTGAACATCCACACGCAGTAAATGCTGCTGGAGGGGGCGTGCACAGCACTGTCCACGTGCCCCGTGCGGGCCCCAAACCTCGCACACGTCTAAGTACCCTGACTGGACGGCGTCCCTGCCTACTGTTGGGCTGGCCCTGCCCACAGTGAAAACTGCAACTGCCAACAACGCTGGTGGCCAGCGAGGGTGACATGGACCGCCAGCACAGGTGACATGGACCACCAGTGCAGGTAACACAGACCGTCTGTGCAGGGTAACATGGACCACTGGTGTGAGTTAACACGGACTGCCAGTGTGACACAGACCATCAGCCTGGGTGACACGGACCGCCAGCATGGGTGACACGGACCGCCAGCACTGGTGACACGGACCGCCAGCACTGGTGACACAGACCGCCAGCACGGGTGACACGGACTGCCAGTGGGAGTAACATGGGCTGCCAGCACGAGGAACATGGACTGCCAGTGTAACACAGGCCACCAGGGTGTGACCCAGACTGCCAGTGCAAGTAACACAGCCTGCCAGGGTGGGCGCCTCTGCCACTGCACACTCGCTCACAGAACAGCGTGCCTGTCTAACGTCAGCCCTTCCAGCCCGCAGAGCTAGAACTTTCTCTGTCCCCTGGGAGGTCTCCGAGCCCAAGCCAGCTCCTGAGCCTACTGTCTCAGTCAGAGTTGACACAGGGAAGGGGCTGTAAGCAAAGCTAGGACAGTCCCATGGGACCAGCAGTTAGCGTAATGGCTATGTTGCTGGACTCCCACGTAGTTGACCGCAGTTCGAGTCCCGAACCCGGTAGCTTAAACTCACGCCGGGAGCATGTGCGTGCATGCCCAAGATCCCGAGAGGAGAATGGAGAAGAGATTGCTGCGTGGCCATCCCCTGGGGGGTGATTTCTCACTTTCTATCTCTCTGTCTGTCTGGCGAGTGCACGCACCCTATAGCAAAAACCTCTTCAAAAAAAAAAGCTAGGACAGTCCCTGCAGGGAGTCCATGCACCCGCTGGAGACAAGACACAGGCTGGGACCTGGACTTCCGGCTGCCCGGTCCCCATCCCCGACAAGTTCCCCAGTCCTGGCACTGGTGAGTTCACGGTTAAATGCTAAGGAGCCATCCATTTCTCAGCGTTCACAGATGCCTGCACGGGACTGAGCCAGACGAAAAAGAAAAAAAAGGAAAGGGGCTGTCAGCCCACGCTGAGGGCGAGGGAGGGCGGCCGGACCAAATGCAAATGAGCGGGGGCGCTGCCTGGGCCCGCCCAGTCGCCGGCAGCTCCATCTTGGCTGGTCTGCACCCCCACC